TAAGCGTTTTCGTATAATTTTCACTGGTGTGACAGGCAAACTCATTGAGAAACGAAGCTAAAATCGCGCTATGAAATCTCTTCGTGAAATTGACAACTTTGTTTACAGTATGTTAGAAAAAATCCATTCATTGAAAGGCGTTGCCTTGACCTTTCTGACAATATTTCACACATTTTGATTGGTTAGCGGGAGATCAAACAAAACAGTAAAATAGCGTGCATGGTTCCAGAGGTTTTTCCCGCTCGCCCGTCCGTCACTATATTTTTTTGCGTTGCGAGCGTGGAAAAACCTCTGGCACCCAGGGTAGGATATATCTGGTTGACTACCTTTCCCTGTATACAAAATTCACATACCTTTATAACAAATTCCCTGTAACATCAATGTTGAGATTTTGTCATTACCAAAGGTTGTTGACCCGCGGTGGGGAAGTTTAGCTCAAAATTAGTTTTTCTACCGTATATTAATTTTTATGTAAAGCCTTCTAAAACTCTTTGCCAGGGCCGGTTGTAGAAAACTCGAAAATAAATTTTTAACTACCTTTATCGCTTCCCTTAAATTTAATCCATGCTAATCTATTCTGTCAGTTTCTTGTCATGATGAGCTCTGTTTTCTGTGCGTAGGCTTTTGCGCAATAAACCCATCGTACACCAATTGGAATAATTATGGCAATGTGCGTTATAAACACATGCCGGTTTATTAATTTTTTGTAATGAATAACATAATTATTAATATAACAAATTATTAAGGAAACTAATGTTCGTAAAAGTAATTATTAAGAAAATTGTTCTCACAGAAAAGGTGGGGGTAATTCAAACGCCCACCACTAAAAACTAGTATACATATCAAAAGAATTGCGCCAGAAAACGGGGAGGAGGGTGGGTAAACTTGATTTCAGATGGAGATGTTTTGCAGCCAACGTGCAGAGCAGAATGAACCGATCCCGCATTCTAGTTCAACTAAATACCGCGAACTCCTATCCGTTTTCCCGCGCATTACAATCATGTGATTACAAAATTCCCGGGAAACCCCAGTAGGTTTCTATCTATTTATATAGTTCAAGTGCAGGAAGCAATAAAATCTTTGTTGGTATGCCAATAATTCCTTTTTTCTAGTTAAATGGTGGTTAACCTTAACCGCGTAGTTAACGCATGGTGCTTTTAGAAGTGATCAACATTTTTTAGTGAAAGAATAATGAAACGAAACGCTTACTTGGGATTTTCAATCCCTATATTCCCTGTGAACGTATCACTGCCAGTCATGATTATAAAGTGCTATATTATTGCTTTGGGTTTTGGGCGAAACCTTTGGGGAAGACTTCTCAATGACGAATCAGGTCACATTACAGGATGAAGCACTGCTATATAATTTCGAAACAGCTATACACTTTTGGTTTGACTTAGTCGTCTCACGGTCGGCGTCTGCCTTTCTCTTGATTATTGCCCAGGTTTTTTTGTTGTATTTTTCAATATTTTGGACAAAATTCCCGCCTATTTGCAAAATGCGAGTACATAATCATGCCGGCGGTCATTAATTGCGCGATTACTTTATGTACTTTTGTTTTTAAGCACCACTTGCGAGCCCCACGCGCAGTTAACCACGTGATTAAGTCGTGTAGTTTGCTAATTACAGTTAAGGAATTATAATTACAGGGGCCAGTTGTTTAAAGCATGGTTAGCGCTAACTCTGGGTTTGAATTTAACGCACTGTTGATGGGCAATGTAGGCCATTGCTGATGTGCCGGTTGAAAGGTAAGCATGAGCTACTAAGTGTGTCAGCTTATTTAGGTCATGAAACAAGACAATTACAAAAGTAGTAAAAGAGGACACATTAGTTGTGAATATGTTTTTTTTTGCTATCATCACAATAATGTTCACCCAGCATGAAATGAAAAGGTAGTGCACAACCTGTGCAGAGTCCATTTTGCATGTTGGCACACAATTTGGCATTAAAATTGTATATTGTTGATTGCTAGGCGAACAAGTGAGGACTCTGAACCCGGCATTGCTTGACGAGTAAGATACTTAGCATACTAACCCCAATTACACATGTATACCACATGAAATATCTAAGGTTACAAGGCGGCAATATAATTGTAATACTAATTATATACAATATGTCAAATGCTCAGATGTATGGTAAATTCAATTTGTAGTGCACCCCCCCCCCCCCTTCGATTTTTACACTCCCCTGTTGGCCAAGGGTGTTTACCTCCGTCAACCCCCCTCCCCTCCCCCTATAAACCCAACTGTATGTTGGGATGGATTTACTGGGGGGTCACCTCCCTAGCCCTGGCCAGGGGGGGGGTGCTATTTTTCATGATAAAGCAAAAAAATATTTTAGAGACAAAATGAGATACAGTAATTTGAGTGATATCGATAACATGATAAGAAGCGAACTGTGAACAACAATTACAATTCAAGTACAGTAGTCAAGCAAGACTTGACCTGTAAGTTGATGGGCGGGTGGCATGCATGACCAACATAACTCGACATTAGAGCTGGCAGATCAACCCCCCCCCCCCTCTACCAGATCATGCTGGATCCATCCCTGCCACCATGACTGTTAGGGTTGGTGCTAATTAAACAGTGCAATCTTGAACGGTCTGTGCCAGGCTAGATCGAGACGATCAGGCGCGGATCCAGACCGTGGCAAAAGTGGCTCGAGCCACGGTCAGATTTTTCCCACCTAAGATTTTCCGGGGTTCACCTTTGTTGGATACTACATTAGACTGCTTACGCATTTTTAAGAAGTATATATTAGTTATTTGAAATACAGCAAAATTGAGCAAATATAGGTCTATAGCAAACAATTTGAATATAATATCTTTCGTAATTGTTCTCATATTACAGTAATATATATGTGCTAAAAGCAGGAAAAACGTCCGAAATATAT